GTGAGGGATCGGCATTTTAAAACAGTTTTCCGTGTGTTTAGGCCTGAATTCCAATATCACATCTACGACAGTGGATTCTCTAGTTTCCTCCTAACATCTATATATTTCGCAAACCAAGTCAAGCATCTTTCCTTTTGATGTTATTAAATCTCAAAGATGATTGGAGTATCGTATCCTTATATGAATGCTTAATGCGATGATTCTTATCTTTGAACTTTGCTATTTGAATGGAAACTGGTCGGAATGTTTAACATAAAGTAGCATAATAAATTTAGTAACTTCCGAACACCTACACAGAATATTGAGATTTATTATATATTCTTCGAAGTCTTTGATCTCACTTTGATAAAGCTCGCTGAATCTGATGTCATAATTTGTTTTACCAATAAAGATACTTATATAATACTGTAGTTTATTATATTAACCTGAGTCTATTATTTTGCGATTTCAACATAAAATTCTACTACATATATTTTTTAAGTTTATCTTATTTATGTTTTTCAATATGCCCTTTGAGTTCTCTATAATACGAATCGTGGAAAAAAGATAATCCTTATTTTTCACAGTTCTTTTGTGAATACGAGTCTAGCAGGTCACATTCAGAAGCGATACCGTCAACCCTCGATGGGGTCATGATAAGGACAGCCCGTAAAACGTGACGAAAAACTGCCAGCCTTTATGGAGCCTCCGAGAGTTCGACCACGTATGAATTTCAATGGGAGATACTAATCTTCGATCAGGGATACGTTGGAACTCTTTAGTGTACTTAAATGATTGGGATACGAAAGATCTGATTTGTTGAATATCATACTTAAATAATATAACAATGGAGAATAGAAGTAAATGTGTGTGTAACAATTGCATGTACATTTTGGGACTACGGGCTTTCTCGTATTTTTTCTAGCCTGGAAAATTACCCAATATTACCCAATTTTCGCGTTCTATCGTCATGGGAAACAGATATGATCAACCAATAGAAATCTTCGGATATTCTGGTGCTTAATTGCAATTTTTATAGATGACAATACTTTTGCTTGTTCTTAAAGTGCTGCATTAATTCAGCAGCTGATATTTATAAGTAACTACTAATTTCTTCCAACATTTCTCTTGCCAGTGGCTTCGTTCATCATTATAATCATGGTAACCCTAATCTCACCGTAGAACAGGAGGCGCGCTGTGCGCCCGCCGCCGGCTGTACACGACCCTTTGATGTATCTCATAGTTACCTACAACCTACAACTTTCTAAACCCAAAATGTTAATGTACTTTTTCGGCCTTTTATTACTATTTCGCTTAATACTCCACTTTGTATGCTAATATTATTAAAAGAGTTTTACTAGAATATGCGTAATATTATAAAAAATATATACCTACCATAATATGAAGAGACATTTAGAAACATGTGGTTTGCTGATACTATATTTGTGTTAGAATGAAACTTGAAACAAGAGAGTTGTTGCTATAACGAGCTAACCAAAAAGGTCAAAGACAGAATTCTGTTTATTGAAATATACGACTATTTAAAATATTTCATTTTTCCTACCACATGAAAATCTCTTTTAGCTTTGTTACTCACACTTTTTGTAATTTGAATATAAGATAATGGAACGGAGCTAACCATTGGTTCCACTAGAGAGCCGCAGAATGCCTTAGGACAGCAACATAAAAACTGAATACCACATATATGTTGCAGCCACTTATTGCAAAAGTTGAATACTAAATTTGCAGAGCCAGTGTAGCCATTGTCACCGTTTATATTGTGTTTGATTAAATCCAGTCACATCCGAAACTCTGGCGACGAATGTAGACTAGTGACGTAGCAAATTACTTTTTGGACGGGATATTACTCGCGCGCTACGTCGTTATGGTATGGTAGTAGTAGCAGCCAGCCGCCGAACACAAACCGCCAACTAAAAGTTTCGCCAGAAATTCCACAGCAGTAAAACAGTGCAACCCCTGTCAACGTGAAGGTTCCAATGGCGTTTAACTAATGAGCGAAATTCGAAGGACCATTTGTACTCATTTAAGAGATTAGGTAAGCGAATTTCACAGGAAACCAAAGAGCGATTTTAACTAATGAGCTAGGCCTCATTACCTAAGTAATCAAGTTCGCAATGTTACTTATTATTATGTTTATATCTTCATTCTTCCATTGGTGAATAAAAGTTGCAAAAGACTGGAGGAGAGCCAATTAACCAACCACCACATTCTGCCTATAGCCATCGTAGTGCAATTTTCAAAACAATTTTGTATTCACAATGCCATACTGAAAAATATTCTTAATGGACTATAATTTGAACTATAATACACAATAATTTCGTTTTATAACTATTACTACTAATATTAATAGTTATAAAACGAAATTATAGTTCAAAATGATAGCTAGTGGGGATGAGGACTGTAAATTAAAACTAATGGATGTATGATAAAATATAATAATAATAATAAATCACAAATCACAGCAAACGACAATATCCAACAACAGCAAAACAAAGAGTAAGTAAAAGAACAATATAAAAAATATGACATAAACTAAATCAAAAAGGATGGCGCTTTCCAGCCAGTCGCCTGCATTCAATTCGTTTTATATAAGTAGCGAACATCCTTATATAAGGACTTGCAAAAACATAAAATTCATAATTCTAGTTTTTTTTATCCAATTATTTAACAAAGTCTATATATGGATATGCAGTCGAAATTCAATTACACACAAATTATTGACACAAAAAGGATTTCACTGTAGCATTAGTTAGTCTACAAAAATAGCGTTCATTAAAAAATAAATGGAAACCACAGAGTACGAGCCGTATCAATACTAACTATATAATAAATATTTAATCAATTCGTCGAGTCATTCGTTATAACAATGCACTATCTCTAAATGGTGGGGTTTGAAATTATACGCCACTAAATTACCGGCATGGGAATATTGCAAGGTAAAAAGCGTATAATGCTTTCCGATTCTTTGCCCAGCACTCTATAATGTTACTCGTACGATGAACTATGGGGTTTAATGAAAATTATTAAAATAGTCCCTACCATTGGTCCATAAAACCACGAATTAATATGGTGTTATACTCGTACTTATAATACACTACGCGAGAGATACGCGAAGTAATTCTTCTTTTATTACTTAATAAGATGAAACCCATGTTATATTGTTAAGGATCTGTTCAAACATATCCAGTAAACAGCGGTGTTATTCTATTACAATAAAAACAGGCTCGAACTTGTCGCCGATCGCAGCGCTGTCATAGTATTGAGATTCAATAAAATAAGACCTGCTTTTAAAGGCAATATATGTTTTATTTCATTGAATTATTCGATTTTTAATTTTGTTACTATAAATTCATTTAATGTCACGTCAGTTTCTAATTTAACATTTTTGTTTGAACCTCTGGATATTATTGTTATGAATTTATAGGTATTAAAAATATAATATGTTTTGTCAGAATAGTTATTTAAGATACGAGTGCGGAAAGTAAGGTTTTACGAATAAGGGCCAAATTGAAAACACGAGCGTAGCGAGGGTTTTCATTAGCACGAATTCGAAAAACCTTTTACGCTCAAGTTTCTTACAACATTTTTCAATTCTTTTTGCGAGGAAATAAAACAAATATATAGGTTAATAAAACTAAGTATGTATTAAAGGTTAAAAATTATTCGTTAAAATTAAACGTGATATTTGAACATGTTTTCGTGTCATACATTTTAATTTGAAAATATTCGTTTTAGGCTCCTTGAAATACTTTTGCCTCTAAAGTTTGACATATCTTCATCAATTTTTTTTTATTTCTTTGGTGCTCGGCCAAAAATAATTTAAAAAATACTTTTAAGCACGTGTACAGTAAAGGATTTCAGTACATTTTTATTTAACACGTGTTTAAAGACTCACTTTCGGTCTTTACAATGGATTAAAAAAATTGCGCTTTATCGATGCAGCTGGCATTGAAAAAATAATTTTGACACGATGATAATATATCCGATATCCGTGTATTAATTCAAATCACATTCGAGTGTTACACAAACTGACAGTAGAGGTCGCTGTTTAGATATGAAACTGTGTGGGAATATTGACATTTGCGACTTGTTATGATAATCAAACAACTGTTCCCTCCGCTGAATAGAATACAAATAAATATTCCCGCGTAACTATTGAGATTTCTAGAGCGCAATACTTAATACTGTAAAAATGACAGACAGACACGATTATTACACGACCGTTTGAGAAGGCACACGGTAGCTATTCAAGCAACACTATAATTAATGATGCTTTAAATAAACATGTAACAGCCAGTTTCAGAAACGTCCACTAAAATCTTAAGTTTAAAGCGACATTACCCATACAAATTTAACATTTATTAGAGCTTAAAGGCGTCATTAAAGCTTAATGGACGTTTATGCAACTGGCCGTAAGTCTTTTTAAATAAATGAATAAATAGTGTTTTTAGTATAGGCAATCTTACCTTAACCAATCGTTGTACAAATAATACTACATTTTTGATAGTCTAGTCTAATCATTATCAGCCTATGGACCCACTGCTGGGGTACGAACCTTAGCTATGGATGCAATCGAATCAAATAGGGAGGTTGAACAAATAGGGAAACGAGCCCCGTGCAGGTTGGAAGGTGTTAAAAATGTATTTGCGGCTGAGATCATTCGGCTTAACTGAGGAGCTCCAAATAATAAATTTTTGGCCACCCATCCTACAACCGACCATTGCGAAAGTTTCTTCAGCATTGCAGACCAAACACTCTAACCATGAAGCTGCTACTTTAAAATTAATAAGCTCTGTAATCGTTTAAAATTCAAATTACATTTTTTCCTGTAGTAAATGTTTTGGACAATAAATATATTATTATTATTATTATTATTATTAATCTTACGTTAATCGACTCAAATTACTAGCGCGACGCGAATTTGTAACTGAAACAAGTTACCAATTTGGTTCGATTGAAATGATTGGTTGCGTCGACTGATTCCTTTGTGCTTGTCGCAGATGGCGCCACTGCGGTTCGGTCACGGGCTCGCCGCTGCTCTCACATATAATACCTTTCTGGTGAGTATTCAAATTATATTATTAATTACTATATATTGCCATAATTAAGAATCTTATTCCACGTTCCCTGTTACATGTGGTTGAACCTTTATCTGGCGTCTACGATATATATTCATCTTTTTCCATCAACCGTCATCACCAAATTAAACACTCTTATTTCAGCCATCAATACAATAATAATCCCCTATCTTTGATAATAATATTTCGCAGAATCCATCCATCTTTTCTTCGAAATTTTCTATCTATACTCATATTCATGCTTATTCATACAAACAAATAAACAATTTAAATTATTTGCAGTAGATAATTTTTTCTCTAATTAATCATCATTTCCATTCCTTTTAAAATATAATTAAGATTTTTTTTTAATAGATCGTAGCTACTTATTCTTTTTTAATTTAATATATAGATTTTTATTCTTTTTGGTTTTAATATTGTAATGAGAATGACCTCATGAAGTTAGTTGATTGTTTCAAATAATTCATTTATACTGATCTGGTTTTATATATATCGTTACTTCCGTTAGAGCTGGTGATTTGTTTTCCGTCGGTCTTTTTATCAGGCAAATTCAAAACAACTTTTTAATAAGTTTAATTGAATAATTAAGGATTTATTTGAAATTGAACTGGATAATATATTAAATACAAGTAATCCATTGATTGCTAGATTCGTTTCAAATCAAAGTACTAAGTACAATGAATATCCTATAATATATTTTTTTATATTTTTATATACTTTTTAATAAAATATTCGATATAAGGGTTTCATATCCCTTATCCTGAATAAGATGTAACCCGACAAACACTTAACTTTCGCTGTAAAGAATTGAAGACTCCAAGAACCTTGAACCAATCAACAAAATATCTGCAAACTCCCTCACGGTCGCCGCTACAGTTTGAAGTTATTCTTTGAATAGAATAACGATATTTCTCATTCAAATAGCCGACTCTACTGCACCAGTAGAGTCGGCTTTCAAGTTAAACTTTTAGTGACGATCCAGTGTAAGCGTCTGGACTCCATTCGTCAAGTTATTTAAAAGTTTACTTGAAAGCTAAGCTGCAGTTGCTCTTTATACTCTGTGGGGATTGTTCACTTCACTTCACCCTTAACGGTTTGATTGGTATTTTTAGGGGTCCGTACTTGTTCTGCTCGCGTCCCTGTATGTGTTTGTCCATTTATTTGACTTGATTTGAATATATAAATTATTCCCTAATTCCCCTTTTTGCAACGTCGGTATTCCCGAATATAAATGAATAAAGTTTAATAAAAAATCATTTTATCCCAAAAATCTATTTGGCTCCCAAATTATTACACTGCCATATTCGACGCTTCACCAATTACCCAAAGCGGTCGTAAATCTCGATGTAAAACACCGATAAAGCCAGTGATGTACATACTGCCGTACGAATTGCGCGTTCGCCAGACGTATTATTCATTCGTATTCGTAATTAAATCAGTAAACGTTTAAACGGTATTATTGTCTATTTGTTGCGACAACAAATCGGCCGTGCGACAATTAACGAACGTCGATTAAAACGCCGTACGGCACGGTGGCGGCGACGCTCCGGTGGCTTCCCAATCTGCATAATGCTAGAATCATTTGCCCACCGCTTGTGAACGACAAATGAAGCAGAAACCGTTTTAAAATGTCCAACATAAAAAGAGCCATCTCCTGTATAGGCTGAGTAAAAATATCACGTGTCTCGTTCTACTGGTAACCATGACTGCACTTTAAAATGTATAAAGTGAATTCACGAAATGTCTAATAACACGTAAACTCCTAGATCGTTCACGCGGGTAAAGTTTATTTCGGTCGCCACGAGCGATTGAGCAATTGTTTATTACTCGTTTTGTTTGAGAGCTACATATCAACTCGATTCAGTTACGTGTAAAATTTTGAGGGTTTCATTTTTTTCGAGCCAGTGCATGGGATCACTCAGTAATGATGATTAAACATATTTAAAAGTGGCCTTAAATATTTTTCATTTGGATGGTTAAAGTTTTATTTATATATTTTATCTTTAAGTGCTGGGTCTATCAGTTAAGAGGTTCGGCAAGCTGAAAGCGGGGCTTTCTCTGATAATATTCCGGAGTGACAGAAAATAGAGACGTCAACATTAAAGGCAGATTTTTGGCAGATTTTTTGGTAGGGCAGAAGAAGTACGCTTCAAAACATTGGCTGCGGCCTTACCTTTACTTAAGCATAAAAATATAGGGCATGTTAACAAGAGTAGTTGAAGTGTCTGTTGCTGAACTCACTTTAACCTGGATATATCTATCTAGTCTTATTTCTTGGGATGACAGCACGACCTAATTAATGTGACTGGCAGTGATAATAACAGTTTGCGAAGATTTTTTTCGTCTCATCAGGAGAAATCTTGATATTTTTCATAGCATTTCATAATAATAATTCCATTTTTAATATACAAATGGAGCATTCCCCATCAGCTGCGAGTGCCGATTTAAATATCTCGAAACGCACCGGAATAATTTTAATAAGTCCGTAACAGTATTCAGGCCTAATTTCCGATTCGTAATTCTGTCCGTCTGCAGTAGTCCCCGGGCACTCGCATTTTTAATCAGAAACCTCTACAATTTACTTGGTAATTTGAATAACGGACTTCATGTCCGCCATCGCAAAGGGTTGTTTTAGGGTACCTCGGTGCTCGGAATTAGGTGGTCTGCGTTCAATTTGCATTTAAATCGAGGTCTTATTATTTGAACGGAGCATGAGCTGGGTTGTCTTTTGGGCTTAACTAAAACATAAACATAACGTTTATATGCCATTATTGAATGAGAAACGTTTAAATTAATATATTTATGCTCTCAGTCTGTGTCTGTTATTGCTGAAATCAATAATTGGGTCATTAGATAAAAATTAAATAATAGATTAGAAATAACCTAAAATTATAATTACGTTATATATATCGTTGACAGCTTCAGTGTGAACAGTCGTCCTGTACTTCTATAGACAAAGGTGTTTTATAAAGGACATGATTCATCTGTTACAACCGTCCTTTATTTAGCCCTCTTCGATCTAAATCAGAAAAATGACCCATAATTCCCATCTGAGATAAAGGAACTACGTGTCGCGGTGTATTATTCTGTCGTAAAACAACCGTCGACCGTAAAGTCATTCCTATTCATTATAAACGGTCGTGAAACACTTTGTTGCGGCTCATACACATTGTTGCGGGTAGGAACATCGGCGGTAGACGCCCCGCGCCGGTTTTATTATATTCCGCTTCTAATGCGTCTGGCCGGTTCCGTCATAAAGAACATACATTGTTTTTTTAACTATAGTCTTTTTAGCAAAGTCACATTTCTTGCTTCTTCTGGCTTTACACTGAAAACTTTATTATTTTATTTAAACACAAGCCTAGCTGTTAGCCCGTGACTTCGCCTGCGTCCGTGGCCTATGGCTCGTAGATTGATTTCAAGGTGTCGATATCTCCGAAGTTCCAATAACCAGTCGATTATATGTAGGGTTACCTCCATTGTTTCATGTTTCCATTGTACAAGTAGCTACTTAATTTGGGATATTCAATGTAAATAAATTCAACATTAGTAAAATATGAAGGGTGAAATTAATTACAAAGTGGAAAGCGATAAGAATTATTCCATTGATAGAATGTGCTATTACCAAAACCTCATCGTATTAATTGTTCTAAGATTTTAAAAAATAAACTATTAATTGTTTCTTATTTGAGAATACGCCATTGCTTTCTACTTAATCAGATTTCGAATAGCTCAGGTTCCAAAACGAGCAGCTAAACCACTCTTATTATGAGAATCTGAAATAACGAGGGTACCATCAACCCCCGTGTGACCCGAGACAATTAAGAAATCTTCATTTTCTATATTAACCCGCCCTAGAGTCGAACCTGGGACCTCAGGGAAGGCGACACCCTACACTGCGTATTATGACATTCATTTCCAATAAAACTTTAATAAAATACGAACCATATTTATTCTTTAAGTTGAATTGTATTTAAGTAAAGAATTTATAGTTTTAATATATTAAAAAACTTAAAAATTATTTTATTAAAATAGTATATTTAATTATGAACTTTAAATAGAATGTAGGACAGCTAAATCTAACTGAATCTTATAAGACACATAAGGTCTGTATATAGCCCAAAACGAAACAAGATGCAAACCCCTCGCTTAGCACCAATCTCAGAGGTATACTGGCGTTTATTGGATTAAAACGGAAATATCGCAGCTGACCGGCCCATCGCCTATAGTGCGGTGCTTTGATTTCGTATACATGCATGCAAATGGAACGTATAACGTTGCGAATATACTTTTTGTTGTGTGAATAAAAAACAACTAGTAAAACAAAAAGGCCCCGAATGTTGGGAAACGTCTCGCACATCTCGTCCATTCCCATCGAAAAACCTATTCGGCGATGTTAAGAGCGCACGTAAAAGCCAACCTCAAAAAGCTTTTTCGGCGACCGCGTTCCCGGCCTGCCCACCGGACAAAATACATTTTAAAATACCAGCCAACATGAACATTAGGTTACTTGTAAACACATTTTTATATCTTCCCATTAACATTAATCTCGATATGGTATTACTGGGCAATGTCCGAGAGTCATACAAAACAAAAGAATCACCTCACGTAGCCAATGAAGTCGAACGTTTTTTCTATCCGTAGCAATTCCGAACTGAAAGCAAAGAAAACAACAAACACTAGAAAGTTGCTCGATGCTATCTTGGATTTTCTATCAAGTCTCCGAGTCCGCTCCTCTATAAAATGCTAATAAGCTTACTTATCCGACAAACTACGGCTTTGTCTCCTAAAGGAAAGAGGATCGGCGTTGCATCTATCAGAAATCTCAACGTAACAGAATTAAACTCGACTTTGTAATTCCACAGTCCAATTGTCCCACTCGGATCTCGCTGCTAATTGTTGAAAAGAGGAAACGTAATGAAAGTGCTAGTCTTTGAGCCGAAGACGACGCCCCGGGCGCATCGCCGGAGCGCATTTAATAAATTAAAACTGCACAAAATTCTCATTCCAATATTCTATAATTTGCGACTGTTTACGCTTCCGCGCACTCGATCCTCTTGTGATAATAATGTTTCTATTTTTAAGAGATTCTCTTTAAAGTTGTAAACCTTAAAATTTTGTTAACCTCTCATCCTGTAGGTCGTGGAATAACATACAATGTTTGATGTTAATAAAATAAAATTAATAAAAATAAATAAATAAAAAAAATAATTCGGTTGTAAATTACTTATTTGTTTAAACACTTTATCTTTTCAATTTCAGGTGGTGCTGCTATCAGTCGAGTTATTAGCGTGGGGCAGTGACGCGGCTGCCTTCGCAAACTGCCCTAGCGGCTGTAGCTGCAACGATGACACACTAGTGGTGGTCTGTCAGGAGAGCAGGCTGGACGTCCTCCCCATCGCACTTAACCCCTCAATCCAGCGACTGATCATCCGCAACAACAAGATCAAAACCATAGATAGCTCCATGCAGTTCTACGCAGAGCTCCAACACCTCGACCTCTCCCAAAACCACCTCGTCAATATACCCAAAAAAAGTTTTGCATATCAACAAAAACTCCAAGAGTTGCACCTAAACAGCAATAAACTTTCATCAATCTCCAACACCACCTTCCAAGGATTAAACTCTTTGACCGTTTTAAATTTAAAACGAAATCTGCTGGAGGAACTCACTAATGGTGTGTTCTCAACTCTTCCGAGGTTAGAGGAACTTAATCTTGGACAGAACGGAATATCAAGGATAGAACCTAGAGCGTTCGCCGGATTGTCTGCCTTAAGAATATTATATTTAGATGACAATCAACTTAGTTCAGTGCCTACGACTTCCTTTAGTCTTTTAGGAAGTCTCGCAGAGTTACACGTTGGCCTTAATGCGTTTTCCTATTTACCAGACGACGCCTTCGCGGGTCTAAATAGATTAACAGTATTAGATTTGAATGGAGCGGGACTCTTCAATATAAGTGAGGGCGCATTCAGAGGACTTCCAGGACTGAGGAGTCTCAATCTCTCTGGTAATAGATTAAGTGTAGTGCCGACACATCAATTATCTGGACTCACTAGGTTAGAAGAATTATATATCGGTCAGAATGACTTCTTGACATTAGAAAGCCATTCATTCAAAGGTCTGAAAAATTTAAAATTACTAGAAATAATAGGTGCCACCCAACTGGAGCGCATCGAAAAAGGAGCATTCGAAGATAATATCAATTTAGAAACAATAAACTTTATTATAAATAAAAGGCTGGCGATCATCGAAGACTCCACATTATTAGGACTACCTAAATTAAAGCATGTCTCATTAAGAGACAACGCTATCGTAACTCTCAGCGACACTGTATTCATTGGCAAGGAACTTAAACAGCTCGACCTGAGCAACAATCCAATTTTCTGCGACTGTCAGCTTCTCTGGCTTCACGAACTGCTCAACGAGAAGAACAACTTTACTCAAGTACAATGCGCCGCCCCCGACCACCTCAAGGATAAGCAACTCAAAGCGCTCAACGCGGACGATCTGGGATGCGTTTTACACGATACGCGACAGAACACCATAATCTGCATAGTGGTAGTCATCAGCGTCGCCATCGTCGTCGCGCTAGTGCTGATACTGTACAGATACCGCAAGAACATGCAGGAGAAACTGAAAGATTACAAGTGGAACAAGGGTCGCAAGAACCTCGAGTACCATAAGCCTATCTCGACAGAAGAGGACTGCATAGTGCGCGGCATCCACCCGTCTCAGTACCCAGCGCCGCCGCCCCACGTGCCCGGCCTCAGGCCCATTCCGGTGACGGAGCTGTAGCTAGAGCTTTACGCCTCTCCGAGCGTGTTCTTCATGTCGGGCGGGCAGGGATCCGCGCGGCGGCCGCAGCGCTCGGGGGGCGGCGGGACTCTCCCCGCCAACGGATTCACGTACATAGGCGGAGACCGCGCGCCGCCACCACCGCTCACGCTCAACAACGGCGCGCCTGCACACCATCTCAACAACGGGTCGCTCCGCTCGCTGCCCGACAAGAAAACTAACCGGAACGGCGTCCTGTGCCATCCGGAGAACTTCCAGCGAAACCTTGACACGCGCTACTCGCGAAAGCAGGAAAACGGCTACCTGCGTAATTCTGAAACGATAATTGGGTTCCCGCATACGAGCGGCGAGCGCGAGTACGACCGCGAGCGCGAATACAGCGAGCCCGAGTATTCGGTGATACCGGAGGGCGGGTACGGGCGCGGAGAGTGCGCACGCGCGTGCGCTCATTCCAACACCTTCAACTGTTGAGTGCGGGGATGTTCCCTGAACGTTTGTGATCTTGTAATAGTAGCAATAAATCTTCATTCCATTAAGTTTTACGAGCGGACCGATGTGCTGGAAGTAGTGCTCTAGAGCGTTTAGTGACATTAGCATCTCGGGCCTTGTGTACGTACGGCCGGTGAGGACTATCCTATATCGTAATTGGGTTTAAAAGAGTACCTTATTTGTAAATTATAAATTTAAGTAGTGATGGATCTATTTTTCAATGTGTTGTCGGGAAGTGAAAGTGTGACTTTCATGAAGAGTCCGAGGTACAATGTACAGCTAGTCGGAGTAAGGTAGCGAGTATGGCGGTGGCGACTGTGGCGCCCTCCGCCATCCTCTTGTGATTTGTAATATTTCTACCAGTGCGGTGGAATTTGTATTTGACTTTGTACAAAAACCATTCCATAAGAAATCTTTTTAATGTCTAATATTTTATTTATAAATAAACGAATAAAGTAAGTGTGCGTTAAATAAGACACCAATATGAGAAATATTAGAAGTAATGAATGTAAATATATTTATACTATATTGAGAAATTTATAAAATTTAATACGATCTTGTTCTTCTAAAATTATTAATATAATTATTTCGGTATTTCTAAACCTATTGTTTGCTATAATATCGACTGATGTCCTATCTTTGATATTTTAATTGAAATCTGTCACTACTGTATATCTCACACGGAACTTAATTGTGTAGGTAAAGAACCATTAATGTGTCCAAATTACAATCACTAATGAGCCTGCGCCGACGAAAGAGTTTGGTCTTCAAATGATCAAAAACCACAATAGGAAATCTCTTTCGCTTTCTTAAAAAAAGAAAAAGTGGTCGTTAAGATTACCTAAGTCCATATCGTCTACGTTTGCAATGTTTTTTAATTATTCCTGTTAATAATGCATAATTCATTTCAATAATTTTCGTAAAATAAACCGAGTCCAATCTTTTTAATCTTATGTAATAATAAAACCGATTTCAATTGTTACATATTGTTAATATGTTTTTATGTAGAACTATTTTACGCTACATAAGTATGTTCTGCAGTTTAAGAGTTGGTTCTTGCCAAGCGGAAATATCCATGCCTACCTTTTTATAATATTTATTGAAAAAAATATAATAACAATAAAAACTATTATATATAAAAGTTCCAGGTTATTTAGAAAAACTTTGAAGAGTTCCAAAAATGCGAGGAGTTTTATATTTAAGAATAATGGAACGAGTAAAAATATAAAAACATACATTTCATAAATGTACGCGAAATAGACTTTCAATTTACTGCATAACATAACTTGTCTTATACAATGTTTGATATTTTGGAAGCTGTCAAGGTTTTTGTAACTGACCAGGAACTGTTGGTCGTGATTAGCATCTTTCGATTACTACACATCGCTTTTAACATTTATAAATACATTTCTTACCTTCAATATACTGAATTCGGCTCGAAAGATCATTGGAAGCGTTTAACTGTGTATAAAAAACAAAAGGATAATCAAACTTCGTAATTATTTAAAAATCTAAAAGTTAGGCAAGAAATTTAGACAGTTTTTTTATAAACAAATATTTTATATAAGAATGCAGTGTTCTGTCTGGTCGGAGTTGGACTGCGTACAAATATAAAATCATTTCTATATCATAATAGTTTGCAACTTGTAACGTCGGTAATAAATCATGCGTTTGAAAAAAAAAATCATTGATATTGAAATATAAGTCATTGTTGTTTTTCTGATGTTTTCAGTTATTCATTTGTATTGTTTTAATTAATAAGTAGGCACTTACTATGCTCAGTTTATTACTATGTTTTTTAAACATGATGATTATAAAACGCTCTTTACTTATATACAGAAACTTGTTGAACGTATTAAATGACTTTTCTATTGTACAATTAATAGTTCTCAAATGTAACGGAAAATAAACCAAAATGTACACTTAATGTTGGTATCAGATTTATTGACTCTCATTTCGTTGCTGTATTTATGAATATCACAGTATTAGGGCTAATGCAGTCGATTGATTTTATTGGCACTCCTAAAATTCCTCAACTTCGAATTTTGATCTAACGAATACCGTTTCGCAAGATTCGTCCTTTTAAAATCGATCGTCTGTGTGATGACCTCACTTATCGTATACTGTGCCTACAAGTACATATTTAATACGTCCATGTTTTTCATAATTTAAAATTATATTATTGCGCTTAGACTTTAAAGCTATCTCCTGAAGATATTTGCACCGGATATTACTATGTGCCACAACCCGAGTGAAATAAAATTGTCAACTATTGCGTGGTCCTTATAGAGTAGTTGCAGGCATTAATAAAAGCACCAATTGTTGCAAATAGTTTTTTCGGTTCAAATGTACTCATAATAAACAATAATTTAAAAAAAAACAGTGTAAAAATTTTAATAATGTGTAAGAGCTCGCGCACATATGTAACTTTCTATCAACTTTAATTGTTTAATCCAGGGGCACCTAACCTTTCTTAAGTAGAGGCCCCCGGGACTAATAAACAAATATTGAGATCGCTTTGTACACAAAACAGCAGTAACCTGATTACTACAGAAGCTCAAATTTTTGCAATCTATTTCGAACTTTACTACCGATAAAGATTTTAAGGCTTAAAATCGATAGGAAATATTTCTTTTTTTCACCTAATATGCATAGTAACATAACAGTTAACATTTTCAATTTTAAAACCTGAATATGCTACAAGCTTTTGCGTTGTAAATATTTATTTGGTAAGAAACTACCCTACATAATTTGCCGATTTTTCGTTTTTGATGACTATGAAAATAATATTTCATATTAATTAAAGAACGAAACTGATTAAAATTTTGAACGACACCAGTGTATGTGCAATACTTATAAAATTACTCTTTAGATATAGTATCCGCACGCAATAAATTGAAAAACGCAGAATATCGATACTTAATTGGAATAATGTCAAAAGGTTAACTTTTCTAGGAAGTATTCATATAAATATCATACAGAGAATATTGCATGTATTATAACCAGAGGTCGGAATTAGGTAGAGTTATTTATGTACTTGCATCGAAATGTTGATATTAATGTGGACCTTCCCGGGATTTCTAATGGACAATCCCGTGTGGCCAACAATCTTACAACTAAATAATGTGCAGTAGTTTAAATTGTGTAAAAGTAAATAACTTTTTATTTAAAAAATCGCGGGATTTTTTTCTGCTCTTTAAAATTAATCTCGGGATTTGAGGCATATCCACTTTATTCTTCCGCTGTATGAAATCAGTGTAAGTACATGAATAACTCTACCTAATTCCGACCACTGATTATAACAAAGACCTCTGTGAATACAGAAGTCTTTGTAGGAGAACTGTTTATATTTCGGCCATAGTAATGTATTTGCGCTAGCTCTAACTCACTCGAACGATAAAAGCATTATAGTGTTTTTTTTTTAATATAATGAAGTTTATCGTGGTTGAAAATTTAAAAATTTAGGACACTATTTTTTTTATATACACGAATGTAGTATATGTACTTACAGAAATAAAATTCACCTAGTAATTCGAATCCATAATTTTCTCCCATGTTTTTTCTGTTTATTTGTATTCTGCCTATTCTAAATTTTATTAACACTATAGATCTACACGATATACGTGCTCTTAAGATGGAATTATGTTAATGTAAATAAATACAGAGAAACTAAAGACTAAGCAATGTAAGGTACGTGCGAGTGCCTACTGAATGCCTAAAAATGTATACAAAAATGATTAAATACATATGAAAAATTGTGATTAGTGTATTCTGAAGACGTTGTAATAGATCATCGATCATTTCTGTACTTTATTGTAGTTATGACCTACATAAAAACTCGATAAATATAACATACCTCAAATTCGATGCTTTCGTTTTATTTACAACCGAAAATGAATAAATATTAGAGATGCACCGAATAAAAGTTTACTATTCGATATTCGGCATTTTTTTCATTATTTGTATTCACCGATTTATAAGGTTTTGGTGCCGAATATACGTATGCGGCTCGATTTTTTCTATTTTCTTTGTTACACGACACTGTGTAGAACCAAAAGACAAAACTTCTTATGTAAGATTTATGTTATACTATATGACAAAGAAATCCTATAAAGAATGTGTTCGATAAAGTTAATAAAATAAAGTAATTAAACTTAAACTACAAATCATCATTTATTTTAAACCTTACAAATCAACGTTATTCAGTGAAACCACTATTCGGCGCATCTCTAATAAATATAAATCCTACTTCCAAGTTCCAATCTTTATTATAAACTCTAATCCTAGCAGAATTATCCCAAATACGTATTATAGACTAGCTGTTTGCTCGCGTAAAATATAGCCTATGTTAACCATGAATTAAGTAGCTTCTGTAGATGAATGAATTTTAAAAAACGGTCTAGTAGTTTCGGAGCTTATTCAATGCAAACAAACAAACAATCAAAACTTTCCTCTTTATAATATTAGTATAGATGTTTGTCGGTACAGTAAACAGCACGCCAGGTTATACAAATCTGTCAAATATCTGCACATAATTTTAAACTTTAGTGTATTAATGGTATGGTAATGTACAAATTAATTAATAATGGCAGAGTCTAAAATCAATCGCGATGACATTATTTGGTAACCTGACGTGTTTTATCTGAGTTCGATTCCGCTGATTCGATTCGTTTACGCTGTTGATTGCATACTGCACATTGTATAGGTAGGTATAACACATACTTTTAAACTTCCACGGTCAGCATTCGGGTGGTAATATATTAAGAGTAATTATAATTTGGTTTGGATGGCACAGTGGTTAGGACGATCGGTCCGATTCGGCAATGCGCAAATAAACTTCACAATGACCATTGGCAGGGTGACCTAAAATTTATTTAATCGCACTCCTCCATGCTTCCATAATAAAACCCTGGTTTTTCGGTGGGCACGTTACATGTCGACACCTTGTATCTCGCTTACATTCCCTTATTCCCATACAAGTAAGACTCGAGTGTTAAGAGGCGCTCGCTGATTTCATACATTTTGTATAAAGTAAAGATGAAATTTATTAGTCGTAAAATCGATCTAAAACCTAATTATCCAATTTTCTGTCAAGTCATTTATTGAATTTTGTTTGTTCTACGGTTTGCATAAAACAAAATCAAAATCAACCATATTTTATTAAAGGATTTTTTGTTGACAAATATTAACATAGCCTTAGAATAAAATTGGTTTAAAAAGTGGTTACTTCGTTAAACCTCACCATAATAACCATCCGTAATTATAAAATCTATAAAAGGCCTGTGCCAAAACAGTGTTATTTTTATGAATCTGATAATACAAATTTTATCAAATATAATAACATATATGCATAAGCTTAAATATTTTTTTCAACTGTTTAGATAGATTGTCTGAAGACGAATAGAAAACCCTGATGATGATCATTCATTAATCAGCAAAGTAGGTAATCCATTTTTAGGGCCGGGTAAAATGTTCAAGATTTTCAGTCTTCTATTCTATGACTTTGCATAGAAGTTCATAACAATGTAAAAAAAAAAATATTTTACTTTAAAAAATTTACTGCAATAGTCTCAGCCTTGAGCCAGGAAAAGTTAAAGGTTTGAATCTAAACTTGGGCAACAAAGGCTTTAATTTCTTGCAATTTTAGCAATTTAAGTATACTCATCCATTTTAGTTTAATTTATTACAAATTTTGATATAGCTTTGTCTAAATCAGACTTCAATCTAGTGAAACTTATTATCGTTCAGAAAACTACAACCAAAGTCATTCATTAAATATGTAATAAAAAATAAAACGACCATTATAAAACATTGTAAACATATTCACTTCTGCTGGTGATGCATTACTGCAGATATATTTGCTTTATTTTATAGTAATAAAAAGATTAAGATATTGTAATTGTTCATTTATTTATGTCGTGTTAACATTACAAAAATGTTCAGCCTTGTAATGGGAATAGCCGGTTCCAGCCGATGCAGACATGATTTTATAAATAAATAAAAAAATTGTGGATTAGGCGCCAGTAATTTGAATATGAGATTATTCACTTAAGCTGTACACTTAGAACTTCTCCTCCTCAAGGCCGTGTTTGAAGAACATCATGATTGGTATTTGACCACCATCAACATCTCTGTACTCCATCATGGCGACCATGCCATCACAGTCCATAGATTCACCAGTGAAGAACTGGAGTTCCTTAAACCTTCCTAAGATGTCTTTCATTACTTTGTTCATGTTAGTCTTAAATACTTCTACTTGATCAGGTGCCTTCTCCTCCAATTTTGCTACTAATCTGTAAAAAGGACAACATTTTATTATAGAAATGTAAAAAATATCAATATGAGTATGAGAAATAGACCACATAAAGAAGTGTTATCTCCATTTCATGAACAAACATTATGGAATGAATGTTTTTTCACTGAAGTTTATTTGATTTAGCATCAAGAGCTCCATAGGCTGACATTGAGTCACCAACCCTTGGTATTAGATGATGCAATAATATCTTTAGTAATTGTAGTAAAGATAAATACATGCTTAATGAATTAATAGCTTTTTGTATAGGTCATTATATTTAAAATTCTGTTGCAATTCTTATTATTATATTTTCAAAAATCCACTTGGACCCTGGCACCCTGAGATGGGAATCGAACCCACGACCTTTCGCAATCCGGGGGACTGATTTAACCGCTTAGCTACCCAGGTCTTAACAGGACTGATGCATCTTTCAAGCTCTTGTTACTTTTCGCTACTACAGAGTGTATTCTCATCAATGTTCAGGCATCCACCCAAACAGCCGAAAGAAATATTATTACAAATATTGACACTTTTGATAAAGATGAGTACACACACAAGTACACTACTTTAAGATAAACTTGACACTGGGTTCTGATAAAGGCTATAAAGAGCAGCAAGATACATATCTTTCTTATATAATAATTTATACACATTAAAACATTTATCACAATAACACAGATTGCACATACATCTTAAAAGGTTTAATGATGACTTTTAGCTCTATTGATGTCCTAAATTAGAAAATTTGTATTGGTAATGTTGCTTTAAACTGATAACAATTTTAATAAATGTGTATGCAACTCGGAGTAAATCAAGGAGGAAAATTATGTATTAGATCTGTTATAGACTGGTGATTTATATACCTTTAAACACTTGAGAGAGTGAAAGCAAATTATACAGAATTCAAATAAATGCAAAATAGGAACATAATTTTGCAATGAACATACCATTTTTCAAAATGCATGGTCAAAAATTAAGGTCAAAACACCCTTGCAAATGTTGAAGGTGTACTTTTAAAATCTGTATCATTTTTAGCCACTTATATGGACTTTACATCTATACAGGTGGTCACACCACTAGTATTTATAGCCTACCTAACATATTGTCACTAAGACAAAGAGACAATTATATGCCCAACTTCACTGGTATCATCTCAACAAAAACAATTGTCAAGCATTGGTAAGTCATGACTCATTACTTACAACTGTGCACCACATATGGTCAATTACACAAACATGCATTAAGGTTTAATTACTCCTTTAAGGGCTAATGAATGTCAAGTTTGTATCGGTAATGTCACTTTAAACCAATTTTAATTGACATTTGTGCAATGCATGAGGATAAAAGCATGAGTACACATGTATGAGTACGTAACAAATAATTGCCACTAATCCTCAATAAATTTTTAGGAGTATTCTTGATCTTGAAGTTTTATGAAAATCACAGCACAATCACTCACTTTTTCATGTAGTCTTTTAGGTATAATGTGTACGATTTTTTGTCACCAAAGGCGTATGTTTCCACTAGCCTATGGTTGAGTACAATGTCCACACCACTCTCTACTGCAGTGTCAGTTCCTTCATCAGCCTCTTCAGCAGAAGGATTGAAACCTTCAATTCTAATATCATCCTGCTTTCTCGACACTAATTTACCGGTGACTTCATAGATTACTTCGTCAACCAGCTTGACTTTGTATGTGTCTGAGAACATCTCGTCACCTGAAAGCCATAAAACATTTTCATGAGGCGAAGTTGAATTCAAATTTTTATGAATCTTCTAGTATGTCGATGTGGCACTTGTCTAAAATAAACCACCTCAACTTAGACATCGCTCCAAATGAAATGTCAAAATCACTGTTATCAAAAATGCACATTATATATAAAATCTTAGCGAAACTATCTCAAGGATTGCACAATAAACATATTTACCTGTAATAATATCCTTATAGATCTTCATATTGATGGATTAGAGGCGATTAAAAATAATAAAAACCGAAACAACGGCTTCTAGCCCCAAGAACTAAACCGGAAAGGGCTGCCCGATATAGAAAAAAAATATACTTGAATATCTTAATGTTGCCATAACATAACAGATATACTGTCAATACTATGATGAACAAAACGCAACGCGCTATTGTGTAAAAATATTTTATTTTCCACCAACCCATTTGAATTATTGAACTAAAAGCGTTAAGCTTTAAGTATAAATTTACAATATTGTTCTAGTGATTATTTTAAAATTCAGAACTACAGAGCAATTCCATAAAAATCCGAACCAGACTTCGAATCCACTCATTTATCGAAAGCGAATCCGCTCAACTAATACTAATGTAGAAATTCTATTAATTCCATTCTCTTAGATATTCTATCCCTATGTGTCATTTTGTAACTCACTTCACTAATGTCACAAAGCGTTAATACCTATTCAAGGTTAAGCAGGTGTTGCAGTGAATTCGGGCACCTAAGTAAATTCGGGTTCAGATTTTTACGGAATCGCTCTGCTAATCCCTAGTTTTTATAACATCGCATAATACCTAAATTAAACTATCCTATAGTTTTGCTTATGCTAGACAAAGCTATTGAAATTATCTATATGCTATGTGCATGACTTTAGTGACACCTACCGTCCACAACTTTGGCAGTTTTGACGCTTTGAAATTAAACGTGTTATTTTAGACAAAATATTAAATTCAACAACTTTCTATTGTTAAAACTACTGCGATACTGTAACAAGGATTTTACAATTATTTTTAATCATTTAAATTAAATGAAGTAACTAAATTTTATTAAAAAAAGTGTCCTAATTTATTTATGTCAGAATTTGTTTAACTCATTTAATGTTGCACTTTTACTGTAAAACAAAAAATTGTAGAGCCTTGGATGATATCATTAAATAATAAGTATACAATAATTCCTGTATAGTTGGTAATTAATTAAATTTAGTTTTTAGATTGAAATGAGGATTATTATGAGGATCATGTCAATGTCACTCACAATATAAAATAAAAACTTTGATGCCTCGCCTGTTTTTAAAGTTTGTAATTAATTAACCGTTGAAACTCATAATCGTAACTGAATACTTGCAATATGACTAAGGGCCAGTTTTTTGATCCGTGGTTAACTCAACCATTTGTTAAAATCTTTGAAAAATGGTTAAATATCAGAAAAATATGTTTTTTGATTAATAGTTAGCCTAACCAATTGTCAGAATTACAACCATTTGTCAAAAAATTTAACCATCACTGGAAGCTAGGTTAAGTAAATGACCAATTGTTAAAAGAACAGATGTATTTCCCTTGTTTATTTGTTATTGCTTTTTACGTTGTTTTTATAACCTACATGATTTCATAGTGAATTTGGATATTAGCTATTTTTTGGGTTTTATGATGCAATTTCATAGGAAAATATTCATTGTCATTTTTTGGTTATAGGGTTATTGAAAATAAGTTATATTTTTATCTTGATCATCCTTAGTATATTTGTACTATATAGAAATAATTTTTCTTGTTTCCACGGGCAGATGCCAAATTATTCAATTATTAAAAATCTTATAAATTCCACGAATAGACAATACAAAAGGTAAATATGCCTACAGTACATAAAATACATAGTCCTTGATTTATTTTCCAACATTACAATGCCACCTTGGATACTACATACTTTATTCTTCGAATTCCTCTATAAGATAAATAAAAAACAAATATATGCTTTTTATAAAAAAATTAAGTTTAAAATAACTTCAAAAAACATATCTTTGTTGCTTTCTAACATTATTAATAAAATTGCCTTATGTTTTCTGAAAAATAACACATAGTGCACACAACAGAACAACCATAAACATTCACACTGTTTGATAATCTATAGATTTCTTTCGTCTATTTGATATTTAGAACAAAATCCTAATGTCAAAAATGGTATATAGTTCGCTCCGTTTATTCAAACCGTTAGTGTTGTCACCCAGAAAAAAAATACCCATGTCAATGTATAGCGAAAAAACGACTCATTATGCTGGCAACAAATTGGCCAGTGGTTAAATTTGGCTCTGGTTTAATTTGGCATCAAAAAACGAAATAGCGAGTTAACAACTTGTTATTGTTTTAACTATAGTCAAATTAACAAATGGTGAAATGACATTTGACTACGGATCAAAAAACTGGCCCTAAGATAGCTAAGTGATAAAAATAAACATGCATTATTTTTAGTAATTGTATTAATAAAATACTAATACAAATAATAATAATATCAAAAGTCAGAATGTTATTTTACTTTAAAATATATGTAATGTTATGTTTGTGTGATAAAAAATACTGGCATCATGAAAAATTATAAATTTATTTCAGCACAGTTTATTTATTGTTTTATCGATTTCTGTTCAAATTATGATTTTAGATTTAAGTAAAAATTTTAAAAACCATTTATTTTAGCTTTTTTTTTTGGAAAACGACTAGTGATCTTATAAAACTTCCATTAATTATTCTATTGTAAAAGACTCATCGTGACCTATATCTTTAACTAATCCGGTCCGGTAACTAAACGGTCGCTGTCTGATTATAATTATTATTTTATTGAAAAAACTGTTTAACATATTTTTTATTCATTATTCGGAATCTATGCAAGCGTTTGTTTATAAGTGTTTCGATTAAAATTAAACAGAAAAATTAAATACATAATATATTCTTTATTTTGTTTTTATTTCACTATACTTTTGCCTCCATATACTATAGTAATTTCGGACCTCGTACAATTTCTCGTGTAATCAAAAATTATTCTTTGGAAACAATGTGCACAAAACGCTTTTTGACAAATGATGTCAGGATCTAAAGAAATTGCTAAATTGCAAAGGAAAGAAAATGAAAAGGATGTAGATGGCGTTTCTCTTTTGTAAGAATGGAAGTCTCTCTCTATAATTCTACAGTTTGTAGATTATGTGGAGAAGAAAATGATAATGGAACTTTCCTTTATTCGAGTGAAGAAAATAATCAAAATCTAAGTGAACTTATCAATACTTATTTACCCATCAAGGTAATGTTTTTGTATGAGTGTAATTGTTTTGACTCTTAGTGAAAAATAATATGGCGGCCTATGAAAAAGACTTGAACATTTTAATGACTTTATTTATATGCTTAGAACTTTATGCTAGGAAGTCCTTTTAAATATATTTTAGTTAAATCTTTTCAAGTTTTTTGGTGTTGAAACAAATGCATCAAGTAAAATTACATCACTCTACCCAGTCCCTGACCTTATGAAATGATTGTAAGAAAATGACGTATTGTCCTAATTTTTCATGTTCCACCTCTGGCGCTACTTTTTGACAATCAAACAGCTGTTTCAATTAATAATTCTATTTTTAGGTGGGTACTTTTGATTTATATAGTCTGACTTGTTTTGAAGACTGAAAAGTTTGGTATTAACAACTTTTAAATCCCCTTCCATGTATATTTTCCGAATAAAATAATTAGAAAGAATGATTTTCATATTGTTTTATTACATAAAACAGTTTTAAAAATGTAATTCAAGTTTCCTTTAAATACAGGTATCAGATGATGGTCACCTTCCTCGAACAATATGCCCTGGGTGTACAATACAATTGGAAGCTAATGTAGAATTCTTAACCCTTATCATTAATGGCCAGGTAAAATACTATTCAATAAAAAAATAAGTTTTAATTTTAAATAACCAATTAAGAGTAAAAATAATTGTTCATTAAATTTATTTCAGAAAGTTATCCGGCAACTTCATGAGAGAGAGAAAGAATATAAAAAGAATATTTTTGCTAATTCTAATGTGAATCAACTAGTTACTGAAACTGTTATTTATGAAAGTAAGTAAGCCTAGATTTTGAAACATACAATAATAAAAAAGAGTGTCACATAAATATGCTTCAACTGGGTAAAAAGCAATAAATAAACAAATATGAATAACCTTAATAACAAATAATTATTGTTATGTATAATAAAATATGTAGCAAATTGTATATAGCTAACTCACTAATAAACATATAAAATAAATAAATAAACTTATGTAACATAAATAAGTAAAACATAATATGGAAATTAAAGTAATGGAAAAAAAATGACTTCAAAAAAATTAAAAATTGTAATAAAGAGAAACAACCAAAATTTAATAAATTGAAACACCAAAATTCAATACTATCCAAAAACTTTTTTTGAGGTTGGTGCAAGCAGTGTTTTTAGTAAGAGGCACTATCAGAAAATCTATTTTTATCTTAAAGTGCATGATATCTTTCTTATAAATATTTGGCACTAACCTCAAAAAAAATCTTTTGTGTATCCGCTTTTTTGTGTTTCATAGTAGATATTATCATTCTGTAATACTTCAAACTCATAATGAACTAACAGCTTCATCAGTATTTTAAGACAGTTATATTATTGTATAAACATTTTCTGTGGTGATAGCAGTTCTAAGTTAACCTTGCCCACTATTCTTGAAGCAGTTCGTTTTTATTGAGGTTGCAGTTCTAACCTAACCCAATCTTTTTTTTTATACCGAGGGGAACTGACCTTAACATGCCGTCGACCTGGGCAAAAGGCCGACTGAACCCGGGCTCTCCCACTGCAAGGGACGACAGTCCAGTGCAGTGGGCGTACCGTACAAAACCCCCTGTACTACCCTGTCTCTTGGTTTGGCACCGGGTATCTTAAAATAAGTCCCAGGTGGAACCTAACCTACTATTTTGGGAATGGTTCATTTCTTAATTTAATTAGAAAGTTGTTTCTTATATCGTTCCCTAAGTTGAAAAATAGTAGGTAGGTAGGGTAGCCCATACCATAAGGCAAGCTCTGGAAAGGAGGGATCTTGTGCCGCGGTATTTCTTGACGTTCAACAGGCTTCCGACAGGCTATGGCATGTAAGGACTTCTTTGCAAACTCAAGCATTGTCTACCAAATGCAGCTTACATGCTCTTAAAGTTCATACCTTGAACATCAACTGTTTCAAATAAAAGTAGGAGATATTTTGTCAGGACTCAGAGAAATTATAGCTGGAGTACCTCAAGGCTCTGTTATGGGGCCTGTGCTTTTACTATATACACTACGGATATGATCACATCAACTGATGTAGTCACCGCCACATATGTAGATGATAGCGCTGTGATGTCTCCAACGTTGCCTCAGAAAAGCTTCAAGAGCATCTTAATCAGATTGCTTCATGGCTGAAACAATGAAGAATTAGGGCTAGTGCCTCAAAGTCGACGCATATAACTTTCACGTTAAAGAAACAGGACTGTCCGGCCGTTAAACTAGATAGTACTATCTTACCTCATCAGACAAATGTTAAGTACTTGGGAATGCACCTCGACAGACATCTAACTTGGAAAACCACATAAAAGCAAAGAGAGACCCACCTAATCGAAAAATGAAGGAAATGCACTGGTTAATGGGAACAGAATCAGTACTGAGCTTGGAAAACAAAATTGTAATCAACAAATCCATTATCAAACCTATACGGAATAGAGCTCTGGAAATCAGCTAGCCATTCCAATGTGAAAATACTTAAACGATTCCAAAATGCTGCCCTCAAGATCTTGTTTAACACACCTTGGTTTACAAAGAATGCTGAAGTCCACGAATACCTGCATATACCATACATCAAGGACGATATTAAAAAATATTTGCGAGACTAATATTAAACGACTTGAAGTTCATGAAAACCAATTAGCTATGGCACTGCTTAACACCGATGATAATGTAACACGCTTAAAAATAATGCCACTAGCCATGATCTAAAGGACCTTGTGGCATACAAGTTTGTGAAAAAGGGTAAGGGTAACGTCACTGGAAGTGTCAAACTCCAATAACCATAGCACACGCGTGTAGATGCACATATTGACTAACATATATGAAGATTGCGCCATATTCCAACAAAATTACATACATACAGGTCGAATTGATAACCTTATTTGTTTAAAGGTCGATTAAAAACGTACAGGTCAAATTGAGAAACTCTTTTTCTTAAGTTTGTTAATGACGTACATACGCAGGTAAACCTACGGCCTCCCTTTTTAAAAGTTGTTTAAAAAAGTTCATCAATTAAAAACTTTTATAAATCAAATATTTTTTTACACCTTTTATAAGTAGCTTGAATTTTAAAGCTAAGGAATCAATCAAAAAATAATCATTCCAATCCGACGTCTAGTTTTCGAGATATCTATGGACAAACTTACATACATACATCTATAAAATTTTGCACACATGTTTAAATTAGATTAGATTAGATTAGTACACACCAACATATATGAATATTACACCACTTCAACGAAATTACATTCAAATAACCTCTTTTTATTTAAGTCGGTTAATGAATAAAAACACAAAGTTTAAATTAGGTTCCACCCAAATAAAATAGGAAACAATAAATAATGTATACGAAAAAGATAATTAAAAAGAAAATATCCATACAAAATTACCTGTATAAACCAAAAAAGTTCTCTATCCTTCCCATTTTGAAAAAATTGAATGGGCACATATTTGCGTATGGTTGTACAGTTGCACTCGAAAGAGATATTCTATTTTCTTATGCAGTAAGTGTACTTATTGTTTGATAATAATATACACTTATTCTATGCAAACCCTAAATTACACACGGGGTTGACAATGTCAATTCAACCCATGACATAAATGTCATAACTACTAATTATAGTTTCATACTTATTTCTAATTTAAAAATTACAAAATCGACCTATATTTCATCCCCGAGAGGGGGAGAATTTCCACAACAGCTGAAAAAAGTGTCTACAAAATTTCAATCAGTAGTTTCTTTCGGCTATTTGAGTGGATTACCCGAACTTGTGTTTGAAAAAATCGTCAGTCCGTAAGACCTGTTCTCAGTACTCATCCTGTGGTAGCTCAGTGGTTAGAGCTGTCGCCATAGTGATTACGAAAGGTCATGGGTTCCATCTTAGAGTGCCAGGGACAAAGTGGATTTTGTAACCATTTTCCATTAAGAATATGTTAATTTATTTTTATTGTTATTAATTTAAAAAGAGCTTTTCATTAAACCATTCCATTTTTGCTTCCTCTGATCGGGCAAAACAAAATGCCCAATCTGGATTTTCCCTGTCTTTCTACTTTAGAAACGGTGACATGGTTTTTAACTTGTGCAATGGACGTTGCAGAGTTTCTTGCTGGTTCTTCTTTGTACAAAGACTCCCGCCGTAGATTTGCGAACTGATGGCATAGCATTATGTAAATGCTGGTACAAGCCTAAACAGAATAAATTTACTTCAGTTTTTGTTTTTTTTTTAGTTTCTAAAGTATAATAATAACTGATTACCCTACTGGAAATTAACTACTACAGTAAAAAATGGATTATTCACAGAGACCGGGGATACAGTTTATCCAGATGATCATCCAATTTCCTTACAAGTGGGAGGGCTTGCGAAGCCCAAACGGAAGCGAGGACGTCCACCGAAAAAGAACAAACCTCCTGAAGAAATTGTACAAGAGCCAGCGAAACCCCAAGAAGACAATGAAGCACAAAAGGACTCCACTGAGGAGTCCAATGGCAAAAGACGAAGGAAAACACCCACACGGTTCAAAGAAGTCATACAGGTTAGAACGCTTTCCTTTGATCCAGTTGAGATTAGCCCTCACACAATATAAACTCTTACCTACTATGTTTTTACACCAGGATTGACGAATGTAGGTTGTAATTGTGATGAAGATTGATTTGAAATTTTGATTTTAAAAATAAATAGTATAAAATATTTTTTATTAGTACTAAATGAATGAAACATATTTTCGCCTATTACGGCTAATATAAAATAGTTACAAACTATATTTGAATTAATTTATGTTTATACAATAAAATGAATACAACTTATAAATGCATCTAGGGTAAAGAACTCGAAAGGATCTTTATAGAAGAGGGTGTAACGGATGGTGATGAAAGTGAAGATGATTCAAAAATGGAAATAAAACCTGATGTCGTCCCCGAAACCTCGAAAGAACCTGAGGTAATTGGACATATGGAGAAATCCGGGGAACTAGTCGTAGTCGTCAAAGGGAAGGGCCGCGGTAGACCTAAGGGTAAGTATTAATTTCATAAAATGTAAACTATGACTCTTCAATTTAATATTTTCTAGGGTTTGTTTTAAACGGGCCACAAGATAGGGCTGTATCAATCCCAGGGGACCCAGCTATTCCCCGCAATATTTATCATAATCAATGGATTAAAAAATGCTTAAATGTTTACCCATTTCATAGGGGTATTGTTTGACGTCACTGAAAGCAACAGCTGTCAGATGAGTCATAAAGTTGTCTATTAGTATCAGATGGCGTTGTTCTTGACTTATTTTTATCTTTTTATTTCGTAATCGATCGTTAGATGGCATTTTTCTTGTTTTAATAACATTTTTAATCTTCTATGCATGCATGCAGATGCACAGAGTAGAAGATTAAATATCCGTATGACGTCATGAATATGACGGACAACGTTTTCGCGGGTATAAAAAAGATTTAATTTGCAGCAAACGTGATTATATTTCTGAAATATTTGTATTATGGCTTTTTTAAAATAAAATAAGTATTAATTCAAACAGAGTAGAAAACCCTATTTGGCCTATATTATATTACAGCAGATAAGTATTATTTTTCGGAGTTTTCATTAAATAAAACTTTGAGTTATTGCGCTTAAAATCACATTTTATTAGATAAATGAAAAATTAGTTCAATAGCTACAACCCAACTACTGAAAAATAACGCTCCGGTATAATATTATTATGTGCCACGACTTTGTCGACTGAACGAGTTAAGTAAACTGACCAACTTTTACTACGGGAGGATTGTAGGTATTATATTTTTTTATGAAACAGCTGATTATTTTTTCGTGAATTCGGTGTTGCTCCCATAATAAAAGTTGGTTAGTATACTTAACTCATCCATCTGACGAAGTCCTGGCATATAGTAATTAGTTTTAGTCGTTGAGCTTAAACCATTCAGTGTGTTAATACATTTCTGAAACATCTTAATGTCCAACATCTTATTAAAGAAAGAAATTCGTTTTCGGTTTATCCTCTAGCTAGACAGTACCACACTTAATGTGTAACATACCCAACATTCGGCATGTTCGACTCCGCAGGCAGGTTGCGTCAGATATCGTCCCGCTGCGCCATATGCGGGCTCGAGTTCACGTGCGTGGGGCGGTACATGTCGCACGTGGCGGCGCACGGGCCCGTGCTGT